ATCAGGTGTCAAGAATTATAACATTCAAAAACCAGTCAGAGAACACGTCAATCTCTCTGGTCACTCGATTACAGACCTCAAAGTCGCAATTCTTCAACAAAAAAACTTCAAAAACAGACTCCAACGAGGGACTGCTGAATTGGAATTAATTTGCAAACTGGATACCATTAAATTGGGCCTGAATAGAGACTGGGAGTGGATGTGTCATTACACAAAGTAAAACTATTTCCCCATGTTTATTCCCTCTCCTCCACTGTTCCTCAGACGTTCTTGTCAACTGCTGGAAATTGCCCACCTTGATTATCACTACAAAAGCTTTTTTTGTGTGTTACCCCCACTCCTTGCTGATAATAGCTCACCTTACCTGATCACTCTCATTACAGTGTGTATGGTAACACCCCCTGTTTCATGTTCTCTGTGTATATAAAATCTCCCCACTGTATTTTCCACTGCATGCATCCGATGAAGTGAGCTGTAGCTCACAAAAGCTTATGCTCAAATAAATTTGTTAGTCTCTAAGGTGCCACAAATCCTCCTTTTCTTTTTGTGGGTACAGACTAACACGGCTGCTACTCTAAATCCCTCTAGACTGGGGATTTTGAGGCTGCATAGCTCCCTGCCTTACATTGGGATATCCCCAGCAAGCCAGACTGCCTAAAGACCAGCGCCTGCACTTTGCTTTCTCTGAGGGCTATGCCCTATGTAATGCCTGCAGCAACAAGTTTAAACCTTGCTCCTTCTAAGCAAGCACATTTATTCTTAAAGTGAAAGCTTTACAGACAAAACAAAGTAAAACAATAGAAGAACCTACATGGGTGCTAAAAAGTTTACCAGCGATCACCCCAACTCCAACCTCAGGCTTTGGTAGGTTTTAGCCCTTCAAAAGCCACAACTGGGTCTTCCCGGTGTTTACAAGTTCATCTCTCTTAGAACCAGACAGAGACTGGGCAGATCAGGTGTTTCTTCAGACAGCTTGGGTCTTTGATCCTGGCTATAGCCTACATAACAGAGGTTCTCAAACTGGTCCACAGACCACCAGTGTCCACGAGCTCTGTTCAGGTGGTCTGCGGATAGTTCCCTCTAAGGTGCACACCTGGGCAGCTGCACACGAGAGAATGAAGGGCTTCCTATCTAAGTAGTGGAGCCGCGCAGGCATGACTCCACTAATTAGGTGCCTGGATCCTAGAGACGATGCACATGTAAGGTGAGGTGGTGGCCTTGGGGGAAATAGAGGGTAGGTGGGAGGGGGCAGTGGGGTAAGAAGAGGGGGTGGGAGGGAATTTGGGATGTGCAGGGCTGCGGCAGCCAGAGAAAGAGGTGACTTTCCCCAGCTCCAGGGCTGCAGCTGCCAGGGAGAGATGGCCCTCCTTCCCCCAGCCTCATCTCTGTGGCTGCTGTGGCAACGAAGAGACCCCCCTCCTCCTTCCCAGCCCCAGCTCAGGGGCTGCTGTGGCGGGGAGCGGGGGGGGAACAGAGAGAGAGAGCGAGAGAGAGAGAGAGACTTCCGCTCCTTCCGAGTCTCTCCTCTGTGGCTGCCGCAGTGGAGGAGAGAGGGCATATCCATTCCATTAGAAAGATAAGACTACTGATATTTTAATATGAGTTGTGTGCTTTTATTTGTAGAACAAAAAACATTATTATTAAGGTGTTTTTCTTTAATACAGCGCTTTTATCCAAAGCGCTTTACAATTGTTAGCTAATGGTACAAACAACATTTGGAAAGATTAAGTAGTCCACTGAGACCCTCAAGTGGTTTGCAAAAAAAATTTTGAGAACCACTGCTATATAATAAGTAATCAGCAGACAATGACTCTCTCCTCAGGGCATAGCTTCAAAAGACTGGGGTTTTGCGTAACCTGAGGTTGGGAATTTGCATTAACCTCTCCCTAGGTATTTCCCAGAAAATACACTTAACACTCATTGTCCCAAAAGTCCATACTTGTCTGGCACGTTTTTAGTATAGTCTTTTGAACTCCCAGGTCTCCCATCTGCCCCCTAGAAAAGTTATATGCTATCCCAACCCACAATAATACACAAGCTCGATACAACAAAGCCTTCCAATATATTGCTGGAAATTGCCATATCTACCAGAGGGCAAAATACTGGCTCTGCTGAGATCAATGGCAAACTCCCATTAACATCAGTGTGGCTTGGCATTTACATAGGCTTGAGTGCAGTCCTGGATAGGAATGGATTTAGGCATGTGCTTTCCTGAATTAGGGCCCATGTTTTGAATTGCAGTGAGAAATATGGCCCAGAGAAAGCCCCCATGCCATATGAATGAAAAAGAAGAACGCCCATGGGCCATTTACAGCTACACAGTGTCAAAACACTCAGTGTTCTCAAAATAAAATCTGACTGGTTAGGGCCAAATCTTGAGACAAACTATTCACATGAGTAAGACAGTGCTTTGAGATCTTCCATTGGAAAGCCACTACTGAACTACAACGTATTGTTAGCCCTGGTCTACATTAGGGGGGATCGAGCTAAGTTACGCAACTTCAGCTACGTGAATAATGTAGCTGAAGTCGACATACTTAGATCAACTTACCATGGTGTCTCCACCGCAGTGAGTTGACTGCTGCCACTCCTCCGTCGACTCTGCCTGCGCCTCTCGTGGTGCTGGAGTACAGGAGTCGAGAGAGAGCACTCGGGGGTCAATTTATTGTGTCTAGACTAGACGCGATAAATCAATCCCCGCTGGTTCGATCGCTGCCCGCCGATCCGGTGGGTAGTGAAGACATACCCTTAAAAATGTATTCTGCTGCATTCTCTTTTCTTTTACAATATACTGTATACAAGAAAGTATCACAGCAGTGGCCAATAGCTCATGCTGAAAATGGAGAACAGAGTTAATAATCATAACCTTATTGTCAATCATCAGCCACTTCATTTTTGAATTTTGGACACATTCATCTTCAACCGTAAATGCACTGGTTGTCTCTTGCTTGTCATGAACAGGTGCTAAGCAAATTCATCACACCTGCTGAAGATCTGGCTCCTAGCTCTTCTAGTTCTTGTGTTTCAGTGTTTGTGCCACTTCCTTAAATTACTTAGAGTTAAGGTGGAAAAATAACTATTTTCAGCCATCATTTTGAATAAAGAGATTAAACAGAACTGCATAATACAGGTCTGTTATTGAAATAAAGTACTACCAAATTCAATGTAAAGGGCATTTTGCGGGAAGTAGAAGAACATATCATATTTTTAATTAAAATGTCTTCAAATATGCAGCAACAATTGCAGGTAATGGTATGTTTTCAAAAAAGGAACGAATTATTCCAAATTACAGTACTGCAGTAATTAAGTGCTTTTCCAAACAGCAGGTGACCTTTCTAACTACACAGTCTAGAGGCTATAAAGTAATACAAGTTCTATCACATGGTTGGTGAATATGATGTGCCATGGAGTCAGATGGCATTGTGTAAATGTTACATTTTATGCAAATTCCAGTGCTCGATTGAAAAATAAATCTTTAAAACTAAGTTATTATTCTATTCAAAATGTCATTATAAAAACACCTGCCATTTAAATGGATCCCAACACAACACAAAGTGCTGTAACAAACACAATAAAGAGGAGAAAAGGAGGTATTCCCACATAGTATGTCTGTGCCAATACAGATTATAGGAAAAGAAGAATTGGGTACTAGAATAACCTTAACAAGAAGAGTTTCGTCTGTTTTTAAAAGGTCTCTTTACTCAGTTTTTGGCAGGAACGTTACAGATCAACAGAGTGTGGTGACGACCTTGCTACATGGAGGGAGGGGTGCTACAACTTAATTGCACACATGGGTTTTTTGATAGCCCTTGACACAGGGGTGAGGTTTGACTTGCGCACACTTAATTTGGAGGGTTTACGTGAGATTTAACTCCCTTGAAGAAAAGGAGTACTTGTGGCACCTTAGAGACTAACCAATTTATTTGAGCATAAGCTTTCGTGAGCTACAGCTTACTTCATCGGATGCATACTGTGGAAACTGCAGAAGACATTATATACACAGACATTATGAAACATTGTTTCATGCAATTTCCACAGTATGCATCCAATGAAGTGAGCTGTAGCTCACGAAAGCTTATGCTCAAATAAATTGGTTAGTCTCTAAGGTGCCACAAGTACTCCTTTTCTTTTTGCAAATACAGACTAAGACGGCTGTTACTCTGAAACTCCCATGAAGAGAGCCTGCACAAGGCCTCTGCTGGATTTAATTTCACCCTATAGGTTCAGTCCAATTCCCATTAAAGACAAAGGGAACAATTCCATTGCTACTTAAGTATTAATCATCCATTAAACATATCTATTCCAACAGACTTAGAGGCCTCAGCCAGACTGAGGCCCCTCTGTACAAACACATAACAAATGGACCCATGACAATGAGCAGAAATAGTATGTTTTATTAAGCCAGACCGAGGTAGGTTGTAACACTGGCTGTATTCCTCCACTGAGAACAGAAGAATTCTATGCAACCTTCAGTCTAATTCTTTGCTTCATTCAGCCATTAATGGAATAACTTTCCCTAGATCAGTGGTTCTCAAACTAGGGCCGCTGCTTGTTCAGGGAAAGCCCCTGGCGGGCCGGGCCGGTTTGTTTACCTGCCGCGTCTGCAGGTTCGGCCAATCGTGGCTCCCACTGGCTGCAGTTCACCACTCCAGGTGAATGTGGGCTGCAGGAAGGGCGGCCAGCACATCCCTCAGCCCGCGCCGCTTCCCGCAGCCCCCATTGGCCTGCAGCGGCGAACCACGTCCAGTGGGAGCCGCGAACGGCAGAACCTGCAGACGCAGCAGGTAAACAAACCGGCCCGGCCCGTCAAGGGCTTTCCATGAACAAGTGGCAGCCCTAGTTTGAGAACCACTGCCCAAGATGACCCGTGGAACAGGGGCACTGCAGAGGCCATATTTACACATTCCTGTGGCAGTTCAATGATGAGACAGAACACAGCTTTATGCAAGAAAGCAGGCTGGTCAGCTGAGATGGGCGATTCTGCCCCCCGCCTTCCACCTTCTCCTTTTATTATATTTCTCCCCCCTAAGCATTACACACTGCTACAGCAAAAAGATACACAAAAGAATGTATGACGTTGATTAATATACTTAGTTGCATCTTTTAGCTACTACAATCCTGGTTCTCAGGCCTTGAGCCCAGGCTAAGAAAGCCTCCCGCAGTTACTGTCCCAACAATCAAGTTTTCATGGTTCATATCTAGCCCTTGTCCTTGGATAGAGCAATGTGTGCATTGCTTCTACAAAACAGTCAAGGTGTGCCCTGCCTGCTTCCAGGTGGAGTAGCTAAACATGAACCCTTCATCCCCCCGTTTTTTATTTAATGATAATTGGCCATCTCATTGTAGCCGTCAATTTGTTTTGTCATGCTATTTAACTCCCAGACAGACAAGGACATAACTTGGGGAGCTTTCCAGGGCAAAATTTCACAAAATCTTAACAAGGAAGGAATACATTGTACACAGCAGCAGCAAAAAATAAGCCCAATGATTACAAACACAAAATAACCAAAAAGCTGTCGCAGCCATTCTAGAGAGGGCAGCCAACCTGTAAGCCAATTCCAAAAGCCCTCAAACCCCAGATCTTGGCGTATGTGTGTTGTAAGATTGGCCAATTCAGCCAGTCTAGTTTCTATAGAGCGACTATTATCAGTTAAATTAAAGCAACACATGTGCTGAAATGTGGAGCAGCCTAGATGGTGTTTTAGGAGCAGAAAATCAATGGCTGCTCTGTTATCCAAAATTGCATCTCTTAATTCGTGTTGTTCTGTGTTAAGTAAGGCAATAGCCTGGGATGTTGTATTAATTGCCTTTGCTGCAAAGCATGCCAGGTTATTTAAAGTTCTGGCTGAATATGTGGCAAGCGCGGGGACCCCAACAATAGAGGCCGCTAAAGCAGTATACTCAGCACGACTAAAAAGCTCAACATCTGCAATACAATCATCTGAAAGGGGTACACTTCTTTTACTACGATTTTGTCCAGCAAAAGGCAATATAAGGGTCATTCTACTAAGACAGCAAAGGGTGCCATCACTTAAATTTGCAGGAATATAATTAAAGGTGCGTGAGCCGCAAGTAAAAAACCATCCTGATGGTAGGATGATATGGCCATAATTATATGAAACATTAACAGCATGGGAACAATTTAAAAGGGGTTGAGAAAGTTTTCGACAGCCCAAGGGCACCTTTGTACTAGTGCAGTTAACTATACGCGCACAAGTAACATTGTGAGCCCCGGCCGGGTACGGTGTGTGGAGGGATATAGCCGTGCGAGGCAGAGTATAGTTGGCTGGGCCCCAATTAGCCATGCTAGAATACTGGGAGGAAAGATTCGCATAAGCAGAGAACAGTGTCTTATTCTCCATCTCCTCAGGGTGATGACATACTGGAATAAGGCATGTGCCTAACAAATCTCCGGCTGCTACAGAATTAGATAGACAAAAGTGGGTAACATTTGCTATTGAAGCCAATCTTTCCCATATGTTATATGTCATTCGGGCTCGTAGCGGGGGAAGCGCGTCCGAGCCAACCCCTACAGGAAATAGCAGGCACAAAAGGCACACAATCATCACAGAATTAGCAGTGATTTGGGCAAGAATCGCCACAAACAAAGTCTCAGGAGTCTCTGGCTGTTGATCTGCTGCCAGCCTTCGTTGGGCCGCGGCGACCAATGCTTTTACTGCTCCCCATGTCACGGGCCGGTTTGGGACACTACGCCTCCTCCGTTTCCGTCCCGTCGTTGTCGACTCGGGGGCAACGCGGTCTCCTCCAAGGTCAGCTGAAACTCTGGTATGGGATTCGACAGTCCCTGGTGCCATGCCATGTTGTTTAAGTGCCGGTCGCACACACCGAGCTGGAACCCACAACGGTCCTGCAGGGAGAGACACAGCAGCATATCCCCGACCCCAAGTGATTAGAGGTACTGGGCCCAGCCACTGTGGATCGGGCAGCTGACGATAAAAGACACGCGGTCTTTCCAGTACCTCAGATTTGTGAAAATGCCGATCCGCAGGGGTCTGCTGATCTGCATTCAATGTTAAATTATTTAAAGAAAACAAGAGGATATGCATTTGTTGTTGAATATCTCCTAAGGTTCGGAGACGCAGCTCCCCTTGTTTTAATTGTTTGTCCAGCAAGGTTTTGAGTGTGCGATTGGCACGTTCAACAATGGCTTGGCCCGTAGAATTATAAGGGATGCCGTGTTTAAGATGGACGTCCCAGTGGGCACAAAAGGTGGAGAGGGCTGCAGAGCAGTAGGCTGGGGCATTATCTGTTTTAATTCGGCAGGGGCGACCCATAACAGAAAAGCAGGCCAGCAAATGGTGAATAACTTTGTTAGTGGCTTCCCCACGTTGTGGGGTTGCCCAAAGGAAGCCCGAATAAGTATCAACGGAAACATGTAAAAACGAATAGGGGCGGAATTGTGGCACATGAGTAACATCCATTTGCCACAGCTGATTTGCTGCGGTACCTCGGGGGTTAACGGCATAAGAAAAGGTAGGAGCAGCAGCAGCACAGTGGGGGCAGGAACGAACAATGGAACGTGCATGATCAGCAGGAATGTGAAACTGCCGGGCCAAAACAGAGGCAGACTGATGAAAAAAGGCATGGCTTTCAATGGGGTCAGAAAAAAGGGAATTTACCTGACCACGTAACGCGCGATCGGCGCGTGCATTGCCCTCAGTGAGTGGCCCAGGTAGAGGGGTATGACTGCGAATATGAGCAACAAAGTAAGGGAAATGACGAGTGGCAAGAAGATGCTGCAAAGACAAAAACAGGCGAAGGAGGTCTGCATCCACCTGAGGGGTAATGAGGGCAAGGGGTAAATGATCAAGTACCTGATAAACATAATGGGTATCCACAATTAAATTAAAGGGACAATCAGCAAAAAGTTGAAAGGCCAAAATAACAGCAGCCAATTCTGAACGCTGTGCAGAACGCTGAGGCAGGGTAAAACGAGAATGCCAACGAGGGGGGTCACCCAACTGATAAGTGACTACACCTCGGTGGGGGAGAGCCATCAGTAAAAAGAGTGACAGCGGAAACAATGGGTTGAGAGCGGCTAAGACGATGAACAACTAGGGGCACCTTTTGGGTAATGACCAAGCGAGGATCTTTTGGAGGATTGTAAGAAATCTCTCCCACATAATCACAAAGAGCAACCTGCCAGGCCAAGGAGGTGTGGCACAAAGAGTCAAATTCAGTACGGGACAAGGGGAGCACAATGGCAACTAAATCAGTGCCAGTGAGTTGCACTGCACGGTGGCGGGCTTTACGAACAAGATCAGATAGGGCATCTAAATACGGATAAATATTTCGAGGAGGGGTGGATGAAAGGTATAGCCATTCTATAATAGAGACGGCTGTGTCTGTACGGGGTACAAACAGAGCCGCAGTTGGCGTATGAGGGGTGGCAAGAAGAACCAATCGTAAGGGACGGACCTCTGGGAGTCTGTCCACAAACTGCTGACTCAATGCTGCATTGATTTGTCGAATGCAGGCAGTGTGCTTTTCAGTGATGGCAATAACTGCACCCGGTGCCCGGGCTCCACGGAGGAGCTCAAACAACGGCTGCAGCATTGAAGTGGGGAGACGAAAGTAGGGCCGAATCCAATTTAAATGACCCAAGATCTGTTGCAATTTAACAAGGGTTAGGGGTTGAGGTAGAATTAATTCCGGACGAACCGGAGCAGCATAGGTTTGTAAAACCTTATATCCGAGGTAGTGGTAGGGATAAGAGCGTTGGATTTTTTCTGGTGCCACTAACAGGCCATTTTGGCCGAGAATCTGAGATAAAGATTCAAGCTGTTGTGCCGTGACCCGGGGACCACTTAGCAAAATGTCATCCATGTAATGGTAGACCTTTAGCGAAGGGTACCGGGCACGAAAAGGGGCAAGGGCCCGATCCACAAAAAGCTGACACAAGGTTGGACTATTTTGCATTCCCTGGGGCAAGACCTTCCACTGATATCTTTGAGAGGGTTGCTGATTATTATATTGTGGCACCGTAAATGCAAATTTTTCACGATCTTGAGGGCAAAGGGGGATGGTAAAAAAACAATCTTTTAAATCTAACACACAAAGTTGATCGGTTTGAGGAATTAAATTTGGATTTGGCAAGCCAAATTGCAAGGGGCCCATAGGTTGGATTCGTTTATTTATTTCCCTTAAATCATGTAACAGTCGCCAAGCACCCGATTTTTTCTTAATAACGAACACCGGGGTGTTCCAGGGACTAGTGGAGCTCTCCAGTCGCTGTGCTTGCAAATGCTGCTGCACAAGCGAATGAAGTGCTTTTAGCTTTTCTAGAGGGAGGGGCCACTGGTCAATCCATACGGGCTCTAAGGATTGCCACACCAAGGGTAATGCGGAGGGCACGGTGGGTGAGGGAGGGTTTTGGGCCATCAGATGTTAATATCGAGGGTGGTGTCCAACTTTGTAAGTAAGTCACGGCCCCAAATATTAAGGTGGACAAGGAGCACAAAAGGGCGGATAGTAGCAAGGGTACGGCCTCCCGGTTTAGAGACCGTGACCCAAGACAAACTTTGGCGCCCGGGTTTACTACCCCCGATCCCCCACAATTCTTTAGAAGGAACCGTAGGCCAACTAACCGGCCACTCCAGATCACGAATCACCGTAACGTCAGCTCCAGTGTCCACCAGCCCTGTAAAGGGAACATCATTTAAGAGAAGTGTTAACTGAGGTTTCGAGGGGCGGACTGACATTGTCAGAGCAACAAGTGGAGAAGATGCGCTGTGAGACGGCGAGTGAGACAACGTCGATCCAAAGCCGCCTCCGCCCCGAGTTCGATCCTCGGCAGCTGGCACCTGATAGGGGACTAAAATCAATTGTGCAATTGACCGTCCACGCGGGAGCGACTGTGGAAGATGAGTCCACACCTGAACCTTAACAATGCCAGTGTAATCAGCATCAATGACCCCTGGAATGACAAAAAAGCCCTGTTTTCCAGCATGAGAGCGAGGGAGAACAAGACCTACAAAGCCGGCAGGGAGAGGTCCCGTCACCTGTGTAGGTATGGCACAGACCTCCCCTGGCAGCCGAAAGTCAGTGTCCTCCTTCATGATCAAATCAAGCCCTGCACTTCCAGCAGTCGCTGCCCTCATAGAGTCTATGGATTTTAAGGCAGAGGAGCTGTTGTCTGAGTGGGAAACACCCCCGTTTGGCCCTGGGTTCGGGGGGGACCCATCGCGCGGTTTCCCGACCCGCTACGACACTGATTAGCCCAGTGATAACCTTTCCCACACTTGGGGCACTTCTTTGAGGGTCGGGCTGGTGCCTTAGATGAGCGGCACTCCCGCTGAAAATGACCCTCCTTACCACAGCGGTAACAACGCTTCCCCTCCTTCCCAGTTTTTCTGAGGGCGGCAGCCAGAACTCCAGCCTTGTGGGCATGTGTGCCAATGTTCTGGCACGCCCGCAGCATGTCTGAGAGCTCTAAAATACCAGAGGCTTGTGCTGCCTGGAGAGCACGGCGGCAATCCTCGTTTGCATTTTCAACTGCCAATTTTAACAGGAGCTCGTGAGCTGCCTCAGTGTTATCCACCTGCCGGAGGATAGCCTCATGCAATCTGTTAGTAAAATCCAAAAAGGACTCTGAGGCACCCTGACGGATACTGACAAAGCTTTTGGTAGGCTTGCCTGAATCCGGGATCTTCTTGAAAGCATGTTGGGCACAGGTGGAAATAATGGGGAAAATGGCCTGAGGGAGTTGAGACTGCATTTGAATAGTAGCAAACTGGCCCTCCCCTACCAACTGATCATATATGATAGCCCCCGCGTGTATCTGAGCTTGGCGTTCTGCCATCTGCCGAAACTCACTAAGCCAAATAACATACTGACTAGGTGATAACATCATGCGCAGCAGCGTTTTCCAATCCTCAGGGACTAGGGAGTACCCAGTACCTATCCCTTCAACAAGACCACGCACAAAAGTGCTAGTCAGGCCAAACTCACGAATTGCTTTCCTCACCTCTCTAACCACCGAGTATGACAAAGTGGTCCAGGTGCCCACGGGGTTGCCCTGGTCATCATTCTGCCAGGTCACCGGGCAAACTGAGAGCAGATCAGCCAGCTCCTCCGCTGTAAGATCTGATCGAGCTTTCGCCGCGTGAACCATTTGTTGCACCAGCGAAAGCTTCTGAGCAGATGCAGATGACCCTCCGGGGGCCCCGGAGCATGGGGCCCCACGGAGGGAGGGTGATCACGCACTGGCTCCGGTGGGGAAGGCAAGGGAGGCGGTGGTAATGAAGACACTGGGGGCAAGGCAGGGAGAGGGGGGGCTGTGGGTACGGGAGAGGGTCTTTCCGAAGCGACACGCTGGGTTGTATCAGTAGAAGGGGGGATAGCTGCAACGGGGATGGCTACAGGAGCCGACGGGCGTGGCGAGAGCACCAGCCTCGTGAAAGAGGGCCTATCCGAGGTGACACGCAGTATTGCGTCGCGACAGAGGTGCCAGGCATGTAAAGCCTGCACGGGCGCCCGAGGCTCTTCGTGCAATGTCTGGCCCAATCGCTCCCAGTCCGCTAGCTTAAGGCTTCCGGCTTCAGGATACCACGGGCACTGGGCACGCACCTCCTGTAGCAGGAGAGTAAGTGCTCGAGCCGGGCAGTCATGCTGAGCCTTACGCAGCAAATACTGCAGCTCATTGCGGTGTTGCACTTGCAAAGCAGAGAGGGAGCTTCCCATACTTACCACAATGAAAAATACTCACCGGGATCCACGAAGCGGATGAGTGACGCGTCTGAAACCCTTGCCGGGCGAGGTGAGTGCTGAGGGCCCCACGTTTGGGCGCCAGTTGTGGCAGTTCAATGATGAGACAGAACACAGCTTTATGCAAGAAAGCAGGCTGGTCAGCTGAGATGGGCGATTCTGCCCCCCGCCTTCCACCTTCTCCTTTTATTATATTTCTCCCCCCTAAGCATTACACACTGCTACAGCAAAAAGATACACAAAAGAATGTATGACGTTGATTAATATACTTAGTTGCATCTTTTAGCTACTACAATCCTGGTACTCAGGCCTTGAGCCCAGGCTAAGAAAGCCTCCCGCAGTTACTGTCCCAACAATCAAGTTTTCATGGTTCATATCTAGCCCTTGTCCTTGGATAGAGCAATGTGTGCATTGCTTCTACAAAACAGTCAAGGTGTGCCCTGCCTGCTTCCAGGTGGAGTAGCTAAACATGAACCCTTCACATTCCCTTGTGTTTGTTTTCATCTGTGGTATAGCACCATTATGATGGTTATTGTGGTGGACATTGAGTCATTGCAGTGTATGGAGCTTTCAAAATTATGGTGACTTTGTGGGGTCATGGCACCTTTCTGAGGAGAATTTTGTGGGGATGAATCATAACAGTTAGTGAAAATTGGTTAGGACTGAAAATCAGACACCCCGTATGTGATCTCTGCAGCCTCCATTTTCTTTTGGAGTCGAGCTGTTTACAGTGCGCACACTTTAGAAGTTCCTTGTGAGGGATTTTATCAATTCAAGCTGTAGTTTTCATTTTAAATCTCTCAGAGCAGAGGTATCTTTCAGAGCAGGAGAACGTTTTAAAGTACGACTCCTCTAGTATGGCTGACAGGACCCTAACTACGGGCACCCACCTACAAAAGTGAAAGTGGATTAACTGGCTGCACAAATTGCTCAAAGTAAAATCAAAGAAATGTAAATAAGTGGTATAGGCTTCTCAAAAGAACATAAGAATGGCCCTATGATTGATCTGGAGGATGGTGTGGATTGCACCCTCAGCAAGTTTGCGGATGACACTAAACTGGGAGGAGTGGTAGATACGCTGGAGGGTAGGGATAGGATACAGAGGGACCTAGACAAATTGGAGGATTGGGCCAAAAGAAATCTGATGAGGTTCAACAAGGACAAGTGCAGAGTCCTGCACTTAGGACGGAAGAATCCCATGCACGGCTACAGACTAGGGACCGAATGGCTCGGCAGCAGTTCTGCAGAAAAGGACCTAGGGGTTACAGTGGATGAGAAGCTGGATATGAGTCAACAGTGTGCCCTTGTTGCCAAGAAGGCCAATGGCATTTTGGGGTGTATAAGTAGGGGCATTGCCAGTAGATTGAGGGAAGTGATCATTCCCCTCTATTCGACATTGGTGAGGCCTCATCTGGAGTACTGTGTCCAGTTTTGGGCCCCACACTACAAGAAGGATGTGGAGAAATTGGAGAGAGTCCAGCGAAGGGCAACAAAAATGCTTAGGGGACTGGAACACATGACTTATGAGGAGAGGCTGAGGGAACTGGGATTGTTTAGTCTACGGAAGAGAAGAATGAGGGGGGATTTGATAGGTGTTTTTAACTACCTGAAAGGTGGATCCAAAGAGGATGGATCTAGACTATTCTCAGAGATAGCAGATGACAGGACAAGGAGTAATGGTCTCAAGTTGCAGTGGGGGAGGTTTAGGTTGGATATTAGGAAAAAACTTTCACTAGGAGGGTGGTGAAACACTGGAATGCGTTACCTAGGGAGGTGGTGGAATCCCCTTCCTTAGAAGTTTTTAAGGTCAGGCTTGACAAAGCCCTGGCTGGGATGATTTAGTTGGGATTGGTCCTGCTCTGGGCAGGGGGTTGGACTAGATGGCCTCCAGAGGTCCCTTCCAACTCTGTTATTCTATAATTCTATTGGGTCAGACCAAGGGTCCATGTAGCCCAGAATCCTGTCTTCCGACAGTGGCCAGTGCCCCAGAGGGAATGAAAGAACAGGTAATCGTCAAGTGATTGCTCATTCCCCAGTTTCTGGCAAACAGAGGCTAGGGACACCATCCTTGCCCATCCTGGCTAACAGCCATTGATGGACCCATCCTCCATGAATTTATCTAGTTCTTTTTTGAACCCTCTTATAGTCTTGGCCTTCACAACATCCGCTGGCAAGGAGTTCCATAGGTTGACTGTGTGAAGAAATACTCCCTTTTATTTGTTTGAAACCTGCTGCCTATTAATTTCATGTGGTGACCCCTAGTTCTTATGTTATGAGAAGTAGTAAACAACACTTCCTTATCTACCTACGCCTACACATGACTGGTGTAGAGACTCTTTTCCAAGCTGAAAAGTCCCAGTCTTATTAATCTCTCCTCATACGGAAGCAGTTCCATACCCCTAATCATTTTTTTTGCCCTTTTCTGAACCTTTTTCAATTCCAATATATCTTTTTCAAGATGGGGCGACCACATCTGCACATAGTATTCAAGATGTGGGCATACCATGGATTTATATAGAGGCAACATGATATTTTCTGTCCTATTATCTATCCCTTTCTTAATTATTCCCATCATTCTGTTAGCTTTTTTGACTGTCGCTGCACATTGAGTGGATGTTTTCAGAGAACTACCCACAATGACTCCAAAATCTTTTTCTCTTTAGTGGTAACAGCTAATTTAGACCCCTTCATTTTATATGCATAGTTGGGATTATGCTTTCCAATGTGCATTACTTTGCATTTATCAACAATAAACTTCATCTGCCATTTTGTTGCCCAGTCACCCAATTTTGAGAGATCCTTTTGCAGCTCTTCATAGTCTGCCTGGGTTTTAGCGATCTTTAGTAATTTTGTATCATCTGCAAATTTTGCCACCTCTACTCCTTTTTCCAGATCATTTATGAACATGTTGAATAGGACTGGTCCCAGAACAGATCCCTGGGGGACATCACTATTTACCTCTCTCCATTCTGAGAACTGACCATTTATACCTACCCTTTGTTTCCAATCTTTCAACCAGTTACCAATCCATGAGAGCACTTTCCCTCTTATCTCGTGGCAGCTTACTTTGCATAAGAACCCTTGGTGAGGGACCTTGTCAAAGGCTTTCTGAAAATCTAAGTACACTATATCCACTGGATCCCCTTGGTCCACATGCTTGTTGACCCCCTCAAAGCCCTTTACTAAAGCCATGTTGACTCTTCCTCAACAAATTATGTTCATCTATATGTCTGACAATATTGTTCTTTATTATAGTTTCAATCAATTTGCTCAGTACTGAAGTCAGGCTCACAGGCCTGTAATTGCCAGGATTCACATCTTGAATTAATGTCATTTGAGACTTTGATGTGATAGTGGGTCAACTCAGTGGCCTTTACTGCAAGTAATAATTAATACAGTACTTCTGCAAATATAGTACCTCCTGCAGAAGTTTGCTTCCAGATTTTAATCTGGAAATTTGGCAAGTTATTTGTTTGATCTAGTATTTTGGTTTTTTAAAAAGATCAACATTAAAATAAGAACATCCCTTTTGAGATCAGTAAGTCCTATACAGAGTGAGACATTCTGAGCTGGTGTCAGCACTGTGGAAAGTTTTGGCTCACAGCTGCCATCTATTAATTGACCCATCCCCTAAACTACCTAATTAGAGTGATTACTAGTGAAAAGATGATTTTGCATACAAGTCACATATTGATAGAAGAATAAACTGGTGGCATGATCACTTAAATGAGCTCAAAATATAGGTGTAATAAATAATCTTAAATATAATTTTTTTAAAATTTTTTGCTGTTTAATGTACTTCTGCTTGTGATATTGGACCAAATTGTGACATTGACTGAAATTATTCAAGATGTGGGAATATAATATAAGTAAAGATAAAATGGTTTTTGTGTGCCCACTAGCCAACCTGATCTTTTTTTTTTTTTTTTTTCAAATGACAAGTTTGAAACACTACTTAAAACCTTAAGTCTCCCCTCATTGGCAGTGGAAATTATCTGCCCTATTTTTCAGCTGTACATATTCCATAACCTCACACCTCACTCAAAAGTTCACAGAGATGTGTCAAAATGAACTATAAGGAGAAAGACAGCAGAGTGATAGAGGTCGGAGTAACTGCATCAAGAAACCTTTTACTTGTTTTTTCCCCTTAGTGTAAGTCAGTACTGCATGTCATCTCACAAAGAAATGTGGATAGAGGTCCTTCCTGAGTTCATGTAGATGTGTAATAACTTGGGACAAAACGCCACAAGAATCAACTACTTTGAGGTATGTCAGTTTTCATGCGTTGTTGAATTTAACACTCCCCCAGGGCCTGATTTTCACATTTTCACTGAGCATCCACATACTGATTCTCAGAGGTGCTGAGCACCCTTTGATGTATCAAGGCCTCTCGAGTTGGGCATGCAGAAAGCAGGTCACACAAAATCCGTGCGAATTTTTGAATGATTTTGGGATCAGTGCCCAGACAAAAGGCAACAACGACGCATGAATATACAAGTGTAACAACCTGAGTGTTAAGCTGCACATTGTCAGTCGCACATGCCTTTTAAAGTTTGTCCAGAGAATTCAGACTCACTGAATTGGTTTCAGATTACATTAAGTGTTTGGATTACAGGATCATTGGCCCAATCAGGGGTTTGAGACCATAATTCACACATATGGTGCTGGTGGTTTATGCCTCACATAGCTCCATTAAGTTTTCTATTTTTTCAGAATAGCCCAGAGCCAACACGTTATGCAGATACCAGTACAGATCCAGCTTCCAGTACACGACATATGTACTGACAGTGGCAGATTAGCCACGGGGCCAACGGGGCCCATGCCCAGGGGCCCTGGCCAATTGGGGGCTCTCCAGAAAAATGGGCACCTCTCCCACCCCAACCCGCTCTGCCTGTCCGACACTCCTGCTGAGGAGTGGGGGAAGCCCCCGTGCTCCAACCCCTCTCCCTGGCAAAAGTGCCAGGCAGGCAGGGCAAGCCCCCACACCCTGACTCCACTCCCCAGCAGGAGTGCGGGGCGGGGCAAGCCCCTGTGCTCCAACCCCCACTTTCCCGGCAGGAGCACCTGGGAGGTGAGGAGGACTTCAGGCAGAAGGCGTGGGGAGGGTCCCCCACTTGGTCTGGCCCAGGGCCCCACAAACCCCTACTCTGCTTTGTGTACTGATGTCTGAACAAAACCAAGGTATATCGCACGTTACCAGTGTTTGCTGGCAACATTGCAACAACAAACCATTACTTTCACATGGCATTTCTCTTAATGGCATCACTATCTTTAGCATGG